AAACTAAAATAGTCCAAGTGAATTTTATTTTAGACATGTCTTTACAATAAAAGCACAGAATGCTCACACTAATGCTTTTGCCAACCCCCTAAAAGTCCATATAATATTTAATGTCACAATATACTGTTGTGCACTGCTTTCTTTAGTTTGTTGCTAAACTCCAGAAACAACATGAGCAGCAGCTGATTTTGTGATTTTGATGATAATTAGATTATTTTATTGATTACCTGAATAGCAATGCTGTAAAAAAAAAAGAGAGCGCAAAGCAAACTACAATATACAAAGGCTTGTGGGTAGTATCCTGTATTGGACCCACTTTTGTGGGTGAGACACGAGCTTTTAAGCTTTGGCCAGGCCCATGAAAGATATTGTCTCACCCATCTCATCTCGTATATCCTGGGACCAACATGGCTACAACAATGTATATATACACACTTGGCAGGATTCCATTTAATCCTGTAGAGGCTGATAAACAGACTTCAATCAACTCACTGAAATTGACAAAAAATGCCATTGGTAATAGTATGCGCAACCTCTCTCCACAACTGTCCCTTCCCCTGTGGAAGCACAGGAAGCTCTCTGCAACCCTGCTGCCATAGGGCAGTGTTTCCCAGTTGGTGCTCCGGGGAACCCTGGGGTTCCGCGGAGCAAAACTAGGGGTTCCACGAGGAGCCAGCACTCCCCCGCCCCCTCCCCCTCTGAAAAAGAGAGAGAGAGAGCCAGCAGAGGCATGGGCAGCGAGTTGTGTGTGCTTGTGGTGCCCATGCTCCAGCAATATTTGGAGCTGGAGCGGGTCCCGGTCCCACCCCCCCATGCGTCCTCCCACCTCAGCCCTAGAGCATCTCTCCCCCGTCCCCATCCCGGCCAGGTGCAACCTTCTCTGAGCTCCCCCTTGCTGGCTGCTGCTGCCCTGCACAGCGTGCTCAAACCAGGGGGTGGGGAGACGCCTGGACGTGACGTAATGTCATGGCCCGGGATTTTAAACCTGCTGGGTGCTGTGTTGCGCCGCATGGCTGAGTTGCGGGTTCAGAGTCCGGGGACAGAGCACAGACTCCAGCCCCACAAAGTGGAAGGCAGAAGATACGGGAGAGGAAGAGGAAGGGAAGAGGCTTGTACAGAGGGAAAGGGGAAGGGCTGGGAGTGGAAGGCGCTTGTGCGGAAGCGGAGGGGAAGGGGAAGGCACCAAAGGCACAGGGGTGGAGGAGAGACAAATGGCAGGGGACCAAGTGCAGACAATGAGGAAAAGGGCAGGAGGAGAGGTGTTAGTGGGAGGGGGGCAGGGTGATGCTAGAGGGAGGAGGGGGAGGTGCTGGGAGAAGGCTTGAAAGAAGGGATGGTCATGAGGAAGGCCTGGATGGAGCAAGTCATGTGAGAGGGCACAGGGGCATGAGGGGAATGGGGGCCTATCATACACTGGAACCCCCTGTCCTGAGCCTCTTACATCCCCAAACTTCTGCATCCCACATCCTCAGTCTTCTGCCACAACACTCCTGCACCATCCACACATCACAAATCTGTGTCCTGAGCCCATCATACTCACAGCCTCCTTGCCCTGAGTCCCTCACATATCCAGCCCAAACTCCTGACCCTCACATCCACAAGCCCTGGCTTGCTCAGCACCCCAACCTTCCACCTGAACCCAACACTCTCCAGCCTAGAACCCCCTCCCCGAGCCAACAGTCCCTTCTCCTGCATCCAAATTCCCTCCCAGAGCTTGTACTTCTCATCCCTTCCCACACCCAAATCCCTCATTCCCACCCCACACCTCACTCTCACTAGGTTGAGACAGGCATAAGGGCTGGGGATAGCAAGTGATGGAGAGCAGGGGAACAGAGCAGATGACGCCTCACGGAAGGGAGGTGGGGGGGGACTTGGGGAAAGAATGTGATTTTCATGAATTGGTGGGTCCCTTTCTCCTCCTACCCCCCTACCCCCCCTTTTTTTTTTGCTTGACAAACCTAGGGGTTCCTTAGGGGTTCCTTGAGATTCTGAAAAGCTGAAAAGGGTTCCTCAGCCAAATAAAATTGGGAAACACTGCCATAGGGATAGGGAAGCAGCTCTGTACAAGCAGGGCTGCAGAGGGCTCCCTGCACTGCTGTGCTCTCCCTGTAGCAGTTTTGCTGCTGCCCAGGGCTCTGTGCTCCTGCTGGTGGCTTCTCTTTCTCCCCATGGCTCTGCTGCTGTCCGGGGCTCAACTACTGCCCAGAGTCTCCGTGCTCCCCATAGCACCCTGCTGCTTACTGGGGCTTCGTGCTGCGCCAACTATCTTTGCTTCTGCCCCGCGGGCTCCATCAAGCACACGCCCCACTGCCGCCTGGGGAGCTCCACACTCCACCCAATGGTTCTGTGCTTTCTTCCCCAGCATCCCCTTTCTTCCCCAGAACCCAGGGGGCTCCTCATTCCCCTCTGGCAGCCATGCTGCTGCTCTCCCCTCAGTGACAGAAAGGGCTCTCTGTTCCTCCCAGTGACTCTGTTGCCCCCTGTGCTCCGTCTCAACCCCCTAATTTGGCAAGGCTCCTGGTCCCACCCCAACGGCTTGTACCCGCGCGTGCCTGCATGGATGATGCCAGACCAAGGATGCTGCCAGACAAGAGAAGCCCAGATTTGGGAATTTCAACTTGTAGTGCTTTGCCTGTATTTACAGGGGTAAAAAGGACAACACAGCTAATTCTAGGCTTGTCAGTCTGACATGAACTCTAGAAGAAAACAACGGAATGGCTAATATGGGACTCAATTAAAAAACAATTTGAGGAGGATAATATTAGGCTGATAAAGGTAATAGTGTTGCTATTTAGATTTCTGTAAGGCATTCAAGTTGGTACTGCTTCACATTTTAAGAAACCAGAACCATAAAAAAAAATCAGCATGCCACACGCTAAAAGGGATTAAAGTTTGGTTAATTAATAGCTCTCAAAATGTAATTGTAATGTGGAATTGAGTGTCTGTGTTTTTTATGAGGTCCTGCAAGGATCAGATCGCAGCCCTATGGTTTTTTAACATTTTTATCCATGATCTGAGCGTAAACAAAATCATTACTCACAAAAGTCTGTAGGTCACACAAAAACTGGGGGAGTAGTAAACAAAGAAGAGCACAGGTCCCTTATACAGTGATTTGAATCGCTTGATAAACTGTGCATCAGACAATCGTATTTTTAATAGGTCAAGTATAAGGTCATACATTTATAAACAATGAATATAGGTCATATTTACAGAATAGTGGATTTTATCCAGTACAGCATCACATCTACACTGTGAAAATTCATGTAGGCAATGTTTCTTGATTTTGCTTGTAAAAGGACTGTTTACTTCCTATACTTTGAAAAGTCAGAACTCTGAATACTTCACACTCTGTCAAGATAAACGATAGCTTAATATCCAATGCTATAAAATTCCTACCTCTGTCATGAAGACTGTTCCTCAGTGCCATTTCAAACTGTTCATCTTCAGTAAGACCACCAGTGTACATGGGGAAGGAATGTGATTTTCATGAATTGGTGGGTCCCTCTCTCCTCCTGCTCCCCTCCCTTTTTTTTTCCCTTGACAAACCTAGGGGTTCCTTGAGATTCTGAAAAGCTGAAAAGGGTTCCTCAGCCAAATAAAATTGGGAAACACTGCCATAGGGATAGGGAAGCAGCTCTGTACAAGCAGGGCTGCAGAGGGCTCCCTGCACTGCTGTGCTCTCCCTGTAGCAGTTTTGCTGCTGCCCAGGGCTCTGTGCTCCTGCTGGTGGCTTCTCTTTCTCCCCATGGCTCTGCTGCTGTCCGGGGCTCAACTACTGCCCAGAGTCTCCGTGCTCCCCATAGCACCCTGCTGCTTACTGGGGCTTCGTGCTGCGCCAACTATCTTTGCTTCTGCCCCGCGGGCTCCATCAAGCACACGCCCCACTGCCGCCTGGGGAGCTCCACACTCCACCCAATGGTTCTGTGCTTTCTTCCCCAGCATCCCCTTTCTTCCCCAGAACCCAGGGGGCTCCTCATTCCCCTCTGGCAGCCATGCTGCTGCTCTCCCCTCAGTGACAGAAAGCTCGCTCCTCTCTCCCCTCCAGAGACCCGAGGGCTCTCTGTTCCTCCCAGTGACTCTGTTGCCCCCTGTGCTCCGTCTCAACCCCCTAATTTGGCAAGGCTCCTGGTCCCACCCCAACGGCTTGTACCCGCGCGTGCCTGCATGGATGATGCCAGACCAAGGATGCTGCCAGACAAGAGAAGCCCAGATTTGGGAATTTCAACTTGTAGTGCTTTGCCTGTATTTACAGGGGTAAAAAGGACAACACAGCTAATTCTAGGCTTGTCAGTCTGACATGAACTCTAGAAGAAAACAACGGAATGGCTAATATGGGACTCAAAAAACAATTTGAGGAGGATAATATTAGGCTGATAAAGGTAATAGTGTTGCTATTTAGATTTCTGTAAGGCATTCAAGTTGGTACTGCTTCACATTTTAAGAAACCAGAACCATAAAAAAAAATCAGCATGCCACACGCTAAAAGGGATTAAAGTTTGGTTAATTAATAGCTCTCAAAATGTAATTGTAATGTGGAATTGAGTGTCTGTGTTTTTTATGAGGTCCTGCAAGGATCAGATCTCAGCCCTATGGTTTTTTAACATTTTTATCCATGATCTGAGCGTAAACAAAATCATTACTCACAAAAGTCTGTAGGTCACACAAAAACTGGGGGAGTAGTAAACAAAGAAGAGCACAGGTCCCTTATACAGTGATTTGAATCGCTTGATAAACTGTGCATCAGACAATCGTATTTTTAATAGGTCAAGTATAAGGTCATACATTTATAAACAATGAATATAGGTCATATTTACAGAATAGTGGATTTTATCCAGTACAGCATCACATCTACACTGTGAAAATTCATGTAGGCAATGTTTCTTGATTTTGCTTGTAAAAGGACTGTTTACTTCCTATACTTTGAAAAGTCAGAACTCTGAATACTTCACACTCTGTCAAGATAAACGATAGCTTAATATCCAATGCTATAAAATTCCTACCTCTGTCATGAAGACTGTTCCTCAGTGCCATTTCAAACTGTTCATCTTCAGTAAGACCACCAGTGTACATATCATAATCCCCTCGTGTGTTGTATGGGTAACTTGAGTGTCTAGAAAACCCTATGGTTTGACAAGAAAAGCATAAATAAATAAAATGCTGGCATTGAATAATATATTTGATTTTACTGTCTATCATCACTTTAAGTAGGTTTTCCCTTTGAATTAAAAATTAAGTTCTAAAAGGAAAAAAACCACATGATTAACAAAGTATCAGCTATAAGCATATATACAATGGAGGAGGTTATTTTTGCCAGCTTTGTATATTATAAATGATAGACTATGGTGGCAAGCAAGGCCTCAGATAATTAATATTTTAAAGAAAAACACGTTAACTTTTTAATTATTTTGTGTAATAAAATGTTCCATTTCAATAAAAAACCAGTTCTCTAAAACAAAATAGAGTTTTAATGAGCTCCTCTTTAAATTAAAATGCTAAGAATTGGAGACCATAGTAACGTGACAGAGTTAAAAAACAGAACTAAACCGAGTTACCAGCCGTGCATGTTTTGACCCATGCTTCATTTCACTCCTCTCCACAGTTCCCAACCAACACTGTCTGCAATCATCAGCATTAAGACCTAAAAAGTTCCTGGCTCAAGGTACACCTGCCAGAAAGCCCTGCAATTTGCAGGACAATCCAAAACTTAATATCTAGCTGCTGTTGTACAAACTTACTTATAGTAATGTGGTACTTGTACAGCATGAGTGAAAATTAGCAGGAAACCCACTGCCACATCCGTGGAAATCCCCCACTGTTAGATTTTCTTTACCATCCCAACCACCATTTATGGTCTATTCTTACCATCAACCCGCATCTAATAGCAGCTAGAATAATAGTTTATTGCCCAACTATTCACATGGAAGCAGAAGAAGAGCATCAGGGACAGACAAGGGAGTATTTCTCTCTCAAACCGTTATAATTCTGGTGGACCCCAGAAAGCCTCAAGCCAGCGATTCACCTTGATGCTTCCCGATATGAAAAATATTTGAGTTACAGTGAGTATGAAGATACAAAACAAAAACTGCTACTAACTTTTCACAGCTGTTCTTCCAGATGTGCTGCTCATGTTCATTCTATCCTAGAAGAGTGTGCACTGTATGCACTATTGCCAGACATTTTTACTTTCAGTGTTATCCATTTAGACAGCTCTAGAGCACTCTGGAGTGGTATGCATATGTGCCAATATAAGGGGTACCACTGGCCCCGCACACTCTTACTTTCTTCTTGCAACATAGAGGTCAAGAGAGTGTGTCATGGAATGGACATAAGCAAAACATCTTGAAGCACAACAGATTGAGTCAATGGTGCCATTTCTGGCTTGGAAGAGAAAAGAATGGCCTGGCACAGGTCATACTATGCTGTTTCCCCATTTGTCTCTCTTCTGCACTAAAGAGCATCCTCTTTGAGTGTGCTGTTTCCTATGTTTCTCCTTGGCATCAGAGATGATAAATGGTACAAGAGAAATGCTCCACATGGAAGTTAAAGCACTTGACACAGATTCAAAGGGGCTCAACTCTAAGACTGTTCTGAGGGCAACCTCCATGAAAACTGCCTTCAGCAAAATGTCCCTGTCCTTTTTCTTCATTCATACCTTTCCTATCTTTGAACACTAACCAGCTTCATTACTACTTTCTTCCTCCTCCTAAAGGCTCTTCCAATTCTGCAGCAAATGCATGTCCCAGAATCCCCACACATTATCTCTGCAACACATGACCCTCAACAAAGATGTTTTCCTAAACAAATGGACAATCCTCAGGGAAATCTGGGTATGTAGCTAGATGGGTAATCTAAAATTAGATAATTTATCCCTGACAATGGAACCGATAATTTAAAAACAATGTTGGACACTAAAGCCAGACGGATCAAGTCCCGATGGTGCCAGACCAAGGAGGTTCAACCTGTATAAAGACTTCCTGAGATTCCAGTTATCAGTACTGTAGTAAATGACATCCCCACCAGTTCCCTTGAGAAACATTCTTTGGGCCCTTAAATAAATATACAGAAGAAATGTTCTAGAAAACAATCACCTCAAAACTATCTCAGCTGCTAAAAAATGTTTCCCCAGTTAGCTGCTTGATCTGGAGTACAAATATTGAGGCCAAGATATTTTCTTTTTTTCCTCACTTAAGCAAATTCCAAATATTTTATAATTCATAAAATGGTATATTTATTTTAAAGAAAAAAAAAGAAAGACGTGAACAAAGTCTTTAAGACAATTGATTGAAAGTGCTCACCTGAGTAGTAGTCTCTCTGTCTTGCAGAACCATTAAAATAGGAAAAGCCACCTACCAAGAAGAAATGTTACACTTAATATTCATAATTCATAAAATCATTTTATAATCCTTCTTCAAAAATTAAAAATTGAGTTTTCAGTATTACTACCCACAGAGTCTTGGCCTTCTATGATGCAGCTCTGGAACAGTGGGTTTTCTATGAAATTTTGTCCAGCAATAATCGAAGCATTTAATATCTTAATATTTTTCTCAGAGTCTCAAAGTGATGTCTGATATAATAAAAGGGCAGAGCTATGCATAAGAGAGAATACCCATAAACACTCCAGTAAACATTCTGCAGAATTAGGGGTTGGGAAATGTATGTACTGAGAAAGGAACTATTCCATTTCAGGCCATTCTACAGAAAACTTACAGCTAGAGTCGCCACTGTTCTGTTTCTGCCCTGCTATGTATGAGGAGGAAGAGACTTCTGGATCCAGGAAACAATCTCTTGGTCCTGCCCCCAAATCCTGATTGTACAACTGTACACAAGAGATACCCTTCATGCAGCAAAAAGAGCTCTCTTCAAATCCTGCCTCACCCATTGTACATTGATCCTACCAACAGGCAGCATTGGTAAATATGGGTGATTCATCCTTAAAAAATGAGAACTCTCTAATATCAACCAAGTGGGTTGTGAAATTTCTCTCACTTAGTTTTGCCACTTAAAACTTCTATATATCTAGAACTTACGGAGGCTTCATCACCAAACCCTGCATACACTTCAAGACTGGAAGCAAGTAGGATAAATCTTCAGGTTAGTGACCTACTGGACTTGTTGAGGATTTATTTTAGTACTTAAAAATAGAACTAAAAAAAATACTTTAATATAACAACTTCAGTGAAAAATAGAAAGCACGCGGATTTCTGAACTGATAATGTAGTCTCATATATAAGCTATAGCAGGGGCGAGCAATCTGGCCCACAGGTCAAATCCAGCTCACCAAGCCTTTTAATCTGCTTGGCTCTCTACGCCACATCCAAGGGAAGGGAGGAAATCAATGGTAGCTAAGGGATTATGTGGAGATGGGGGCACCACGCAAAGCCTCCCCACCAACACAGTGTGCAGAACCACACAGAGCTGCCAGACACTTTGAGTGGTCTTGGGCTGCTGGCAGACAGGGGATCTGCCCGAGGACCCTGCTGGGTTGCTGGCCGGGAGCTGTGTAGGTAAGCGTCTCCCAGACACAGCCTGCCTTTGGCACCCCACTCACTTGCACACTCCAACTCCCTGCTCCAGGTCACCACCCCATCCTGCCTCAGGTCACCATCCAAACCCACTGCCCTCCCACAGGTCACAACTCCCTCCTAGACTCTGCACCCCATCCTCTTCCAGGCCAGAATTCTCTCCTAAACCCATAGCCCCTCCGGGACCTTGCACCCCAATCCCCTACACCCCAGATCATAACCCCCTCCTTCACCCAAACTCCGAGAACCCACTCTTTCTTTCTCTCCTGTACCCCAGTCCTGTACCACAAGTTCCCTTGTGCACCCAACCACTGTCCCAAACCCCACACTTCGTCCATAGAAAAGTGCATCTTACTCATAACAAAACACTGTCTCAAAGTGATGTCTGATATAATAAAAGGGCAGAGCTATGCATAAGAGAGAATACCCATAAACACTCCAGTAAACATTCTGCAGAATTAGGGGTTGGGAAATGTATGTACTGAGAAAGGAACTATTCCATTTCAGGCCATTCTACAGAAAACTTACAGCTAGAGTCGCCACTGTTCTGTTTCTGCCCTGCTATGTATGAGGAGGAAGAGACTTCTGGATCCAGGAAACAATCTCTTGGTCCTGCCCCCAAATCCTGATTGTACAACTGTACACAAGAGATACCCTTCATGCAGCAAAAAGAGCTCTCTTCAAATCCTGCCTCACCCATTGTACATTGATCCTACCAACAGGCAGCATTGGTAAATATGGGTGATTCATCCTTAAAAAATGAGAACTCTCTAATATCAACCAAGTGGGTTGTGAAATTTCTCTCACTTAGTTTTGCCACTTAAAACTTCTATATATCTAGAACTTACGGAGGCTTCATCACCAAACCCTGCATACACTTCAAGACTGGAAGCAAGTAGGATAAATCTTCAGGTTAGTGACCTACTGGACTTGTTGAGGATTTATTTTAGTACTTAAAAATAGAACTAAAAAAAATACTTTAATATAACAACTTCAGTGAAAAATAGAAAGCACGCGGATTTCTGAACTGATAATGTAGTCTCATATATAAGCTATAGCAGGGGCGAGCAATCTGGCCCACAGGTCAAATCCAGCTCACCAAGCCTTTTAATCTGCTTGGCTCTCTACGCCACATCCTAGGGAAGGGAGGAAATCAATGGTAGCTAAGAGATTATGTGGAGATGGGGGCACCACGCAAAGCCTCCCCACCAACACAGTGTGCAGAACCACACAGAGCAGCCAGACACTTTGAGTGGTCTTGGGCTGCTGGCAGACAGGGGATCTGCCCGAGGACCCTGCTGGGTTGCTGGCCGGGAGCTGTGTAGGTAAGCGTCTCCCAGACACAGCCTGCCTTTGGCACCCCACTCACTTGCACACTCCAACTCCCTGCTCCAGGTCACCACCCCATCCTGCCTCAGGTCACCATCCAAACCCACTGCCCTCCCACAGGTCACAACTCCCTCCCAGACTCTGCACCCCATCCTACAAACACTCTTCCAGGCCAGAATTCTCTCCTAAACCCATAGCCCCTCCGGGACCTTGCACCCCAATCCCCTACCCCAGATCACAACCCCCTCCTTCACCCAAACTCCCTCTGAGAACCCACTCTTTCTTTCTCTCCTGTACCCCAGTCCTGTACCACAAGTTCCCTTGTGCACCCAACCACTGTCCCAAACCCCACACTTCCTCCATAGAAAAGTGCATCTTACTCATAACAAAACACTGTATTTCTCTGGGTTTACTAACTTTCACTTTAAAAAGGCTTTAAATGGCATTTAACAGTTTATACCTCTTTTTTTACATATTGTCTGAAACATTTGAAAAATAGTTGATCCTGGTCTTGGCTCCATTTAAAGAAAAAGCACTTCAGACTGGCTTATCTAATATATAAAGGAAAATGTTTGTAAGTTTGTGCGCTAATAACTTGGACACTATTAGAGCTACCACAACCAAACTTTGCATGGGATAATCTTTCATCCAGGAGAAGGTTTTAAGGTACTTTTCGACCAGATCGGGCCTGAGCTCAAGCTGTAAAAATCAAAAAGTAACCCTCTGCGTGGCGCTGCAAGGGCCGCCCCGCCAACCCTAGGTCCCATGCCCACCACCTGCAGCCCCCAAGCGCCACCCCCTCCCACCTGCGAGGTTACATAAGTGACCTTCTTCCCCCCCACACACACACAGTGCCCTGACCCCCACGCACACAACAGCTCGGGCACCCGCCCTGCCTGCCTCCCCCCGCCCGGGGATGACACAGACCTATATTTTAATCCCTATAGAAATCAGAGCAACTTTTCTAGTATTCAAAAAAAGATAATGGACTACTATTTTTCTACATTTTGTTCCTCCAGTTTCCCGAGCAACACTGGGTAACTCCAACTAGTTTCTAATAAACCAAATATTAAATTTAAACTTAAATATTAAGCAAGACTATTAACTTCTTGTTGGGCAAAAAGTGTTCACTATTTACCTGCAGTTGCTTTCATGAGCATCTTCAGAGGCCCCAGCGTGTACATCAGTCCAACAAGAATACCTGCTAGATGCCCAGCAAAAGAAGTCCTAGGAGGAACAAAATCATTTTTGAGAGTCTGTATGCTTGATTAGTTATACCCTGCATTCCCATTATTCCAATGTGTGTCAATTGGTCACAGCTCACTGTCTTTATTCCACATGATGTATTTTATTCTGTGCTAAACTGACTATGCCTCAAAGAACATTTTCCACCTTTTTTGGCTGCTGAAATGAGTAACAACCACAAGAGGTTTCAAAGGAATACCTCTGACCAAATGAGGAACTAAAACTGGTTGATGTATTACAAAAACTGATATACCGGAAAGAAAATAAGAACAGTTGGACAACTTGTATAGATTTCATTCAGCTTTAGTTCATTTCTATTTTATAAAAAGAATCTAAAATTAGTTCTATTTTAGCTCTTGAAATTTTGATTCAGCACTACACTGCTCCAGTTTTTACATCAGTGAAAAGCTACTGAAATCAGCAAAGCTATAAAAGAATATAACTAGAGTAAAGCCATGGTAAATCAGGTCATTTTAAGAGAAATTACTACATTATGTATATAAAATAATTCAGACCTACTGCATATTTTTAAATATTATATATAGATATGCAGTGAGTGGCACTACAATAGCTTTTGTAAGTAAACAGATTTCTCGGTTTGTTTCTAAACAGCAGCTTTATATCTATCTGTATCTATATCTATACTAGGGGGCTGTGACCCCCCCTGCCTGCACTTGCCAACCTTGGCTCTCGCCCCAGCCACCAGGGAGAGCTTGGTTGCGGCTGAACCACCTGTTCCCCTTCCGCCTCCTCCCCCCCTTCTTTTCCCTGTCACCACCACACCAACTTAGTCCACCTTTCTCCTTCCTTCCTCCCCCCTCCTCCCACCAACCTGCCCGAGCCTCCTTTCTCCCTCTTCCCCTCCCCCCCAGCCCAGGACCCTTCTCCCTCCCCCTCTAACAGTAACACTCTGGCCAGGCCCTGCCCTCTCTCCTCTGGCCAAAGCCACATGCAGCCAGGGCCAGCCCTCATCCTTCCAACCTCTGAGCACTGGGGAGGGGGGAGACTGCATGGCTCACAGCTCCCGCAGGACAGGAAAACTTTTCTTTAACATATAGCAAAGATATACACACACATACACACACAATTTTGACAGCGTCTATTTGTCTGAGAGTCCCTTTGTTCAAGAACACCTCCTAAACGATAAGAACTAGGGCCACTAAATTGGGCAGGGAGCTTCATCTTCTCCAAACTTAAAGCCAGGTCGGGGTTTGATTGTGCTAGGAGAAATGGAAGCCCCCGGAAAAGCAGAGTTTTCCATAACATGCAAAGGGAGGGGCTGCTGTTCTGAGGTATGTGATATAAGAGCAGACACTGGATGCAGTGAGCCCACAGGGGAGAACTATCCTGCAGAGTGTCCACTGGGTACAGCCATACTACCAAGGGAGTAGCCAGCAGGGCTGGGGCTCCACCATTTTGCTTGTCACCATACAAGTAAGTGGGGACTCCCTGTTCAGGAGACAGCCCTCGCTGCTCCCCCAGGAGCGGCCACAAGAGGAAGAAGAGCAGGCCCCAATGCCCTGGGCCAGGTCAGGAGGGAGGGAGAGAGAGAGAGCCCCTGCTGCTGCCCTGGGACAAGCCAGCAGGTAGGGAGTGCAGTCCCTGCTGCTCTGGGCCACTCCTGGGAGAATCATAGACTCCTAGGGCTAGAAGAGACCTCAGAAGGTCATCGAGTCCAGTCCCCTGCCCAAAGCAGGATCAATCGTAACTAAATCATCCCAGCCAGGGCTCTGTCAAGCCAGGACTTAAAAACCTCTAGGGATGGAGATTCCACCACCTCCAAGGTAACCCATTCCAGTGCTTCAGTGGAAGGACTTTAGAGAAACCAATGGCCATTTAGAGAAGCCATTTCCTTGGAACCTGGGGTCAGCTGGGACTCTCCAGCTAACCCTGGGCTCTGTGCCCTTTGAAATGCCACGCAGGCATTTTCAAAGGGGCAGCGCCACACAGAGCCTGGGATCAGCTGTGCAGTGCTGCCCCTTTGAAATGCTGCCACAGCATTTCAAAGCAACAGCACCGTACGGAGCCTGTATCCCGGGCTCCAAGCAGCACTGCTGCTTTGACATACACCCTGTCCCCCCTCCCCCCCGCCTTTCCTGCCTTTATCTGATAGAGGCAGCAAGGGCGGGAGAAGCGACTACTAGACTATCCGATAAGCATTTGCTTATCAGATAGTCGACTAATCCTTAACATCCTTAGAATCCAGGTCTGTTGTGGCCAAAGGCTTCTCCACAGCAGCAGCTCCTGCCCACAGGGGGCCTGAGCTCCCCACAGAGGCTGCTCCAGGATCCCACACATATTGGCTCCGGCCTGTCCCCTCCCCCCCCCCGCGCTCTGCTGCCTGTGATAGCTGGCTCCCCACAAGCACTGGCTGATACAGAGACAGCAAGGAGGAGGTTCATGTAGACCAGGCATGTCCAAAGTCCGGCCTGCGGGCCAATTGCGGCCCGTGTTCCGATTTAATACGGCCCCCGCTTCCTCCCCCTCTCCTGGCTCCCCAGCGCTCTTTTGAACTGGCGCGTCCAGCGCGCCGCTTCCGGCCGCGCTGCCGCCGCCCATAGCCTCTGCGGTCCTAGAGCCTGCCCTGTAGGGCACGTCCGCAGCCCCGCTCCCCCGCTAAATGATCCTACAACTGGAAATTTCCAGAGTGTGATTGAGATACGCAGGTTAACTGTAGCAACAGGTGAAGTAACACAGTTTATTTGTAAATAGCTAATCTTTTGTTTGACAGTACATTAGGGAGAAAATAGTTGTCTGCTGCTGTTTACTCACCACCTTCTGTAAAGATTATTCCAAGAAGGAGTTCTTCCCCCTTTCAATTGTATAGAAGTTACATTATCACTATTCTTGCATATCCTGTAGTAGGGATGTTAGTGTATAGTCATTTTTCAAATTAACCCATAAGCCTAGGCTTATGGGTTAATCATTTAAATGACTATACACTAACATCCCTACTACAGGATATGCAAGAATAGTGATAATGTAACTTCTATACAATTGAAAGGGGGAAGAACTCCTTCTTGGAATAATCTTTACAGAAGGTGGTGAGTAAACAGCAGCAGACAACTATTTTCTCCCTAATGTACTGTCAAACAAAAGATTAGCTATTTACAAATAAACTGTGTTACTTCACCTGTTGCTACAGTTAACCTGCGTATCTCAATCACACTCTGGAAATTTCCAGTTGTAGGATCATTTACAACTGGTCACTTCTTTAAATGTGCCCACAACCAATTCAAGAAAAGAAAAGGATACAGTCTATCCATGTACCGCCTATGTGAATTTATACTGCTGTTACAGCTTTCATTGGCAGGATATTACTGCAAAGACACATATTAATAGCACTGCAGGGGAGAGAGAGGTGGGAAAACTATATTGAAAGTAATAGAAATGTTTGTCATGCAAGAATAAGTTGGCTCATTGATTTAGCAGCTCTCAAAAGAAGAAGCTGTGAACCAAAGACGGAGACTAAAAAATTGTAAGTTAATAACCATAACTACTATTAACATGGCAAAGCTGCAAGACAGCTCATCAATAAAACAGTATTTAAACACAAATGATATTAACAATGTGACTTCCTAAACTCAACTAGTAAGCAAAAGTCCAAAGTTTTTAATCAGACAACACAATAATAGAGAAAAAACACCAAAAGCTCATGACATAAATCTTTTGACTATTACAGCTGTACAAAAGGTTGACAATGATACCTTGTCATTACACAAAACTCCTCTGGTTTCATGGATGACTCAAAACTCAAATCAGGTTTGACAAATTATTCTTAAATATTTGCAAAATTAAGCCCAGTTTTGAGCAATCTTGGAATGATTTATAGCCTGTAAAAAACTTGGAATTCTCAATTGTGTATGTTGTCACACTAAAAAAAACCCCACACCTGTATTGGCCGTTCTGGCTGGTTTTGTTTTGAGATTTTAGCTTTGAAACTCAGGCTAACTGTACACTTGCTAAAAAAAAAAAAATGGTCTGGTAGCACTTCTCAGACTAAGAAAACATGTAGATGTTATCATGAGCTTTCGTGGGCACAGCCCACTTCCTCAGATGAGGAGTGAATGTTTGGTTCAAACTAACATGTCCTGGCACGTGCTTTCACTTTCAGAACAGCTGTTGAGTGGAGTAACATGCCGGCGAGATCATGCTAATGAAGCATGGGATATTCAAATAATTGTGAATTTAGGAAATTATTCTGCCTTAAAACTTTTGAAATCATTGCCAAAGTTTCACATTAGAATACAAGTTTGATGAAGTTGGTATTTGTGATGACTGACACTATGATTTATGTACTGTATTTTTAAATAAACTGCTTTAACGGGGTCTTCTCATGGTGTGAATCACTTGCAACCACACCATTCTCCCTTACAAATCAGTAGCAAGATTTGAAACCCCTGACTTTCAGATTGCTAGGTTAGACCTTTACCATTTGAGCTTGTGATGGGGTGGACTATGCCCTGAGGCCCCTGTTGGAAGCTTTTTGATTCTGCCATAACCCATCCCAGAAAATAAAGCAGTAGAGAGGTCTCCAACCAGGCTAGAGTGGCTGCAGGGGATGCAGCCAATCAGGGTCCAGGAAAGCCATACAAAAGAAGCTGCAGAACAGAGGAGCTCAAGGAGTGAAGCCTGAGTGACTGGAATTGGAGAAGTGGAAGTGCAGCAGTTTGGTGTGAAGAGCTCGTGGAAACAAAATAGAGCCCTGAAGTAAGGGCACAGGGAATTAGAGCAGCAGTGGAACAGACCTAACAGACAGCTGCTATCTACAGTGTCCCTAGACTGGGGCCCAGCGTAGAGAACAGGACAGAGTCCCCTCACCAACTTTCTATTAGCCACTGTGAGAAGTGGCCTGGATATTGAAGTCCCAGAGGAAGCGACTGGATCCAGCCAAAGGACTGGCACCAGAAAGGCTTGTGGAATTGACCTGAAACAACACAATGACTTGGAGATCCATTAATGAATGTCCAGGCAGGTTAAAG